CTCTAGTTTTGAACATTTTGCCATTCATTCCTATGGGACCAATTTCGCCACAAGAACGACAATATGCCATGAACCATTCGGCGAAACATTCCACAAAGTAATAGCAATCCAATCGGGAACAATCCACACATTTCAGTATATTACTGTCTATGTAGTGTAAAAACTGTGGGAGGAGTTAGGGTGGTAAATATGGCTATAATAATAATAATAACTAGAAAAGCTACAATTTCTGGGGAAATTGTGTGAAGTGTTCTTGCCTCCACCAGTAGTCTACAACTGGAGTGGGCGGAGTAACTGTTATCATTTATATAGCACATTTAATTGCAACGTTGTTGCACAGTTACATTAAAAAATACATTTATAAAAACATTAGCAGGTGTTCAAAAGGCCCTGTCTATGACATCACTTGCTGCTGCAGCCTGGCACAGGTCAGAGTATTTTGGCACTTGCCATCTTCAAATGGTCGTATTTTAAAAACTATAAATCCTACAGCAAAGAGCTTTATATTGTGAGAATCACAAGACCCAGACCTACATTGTGATGCATAGCATGTCTCTGAAGTATTAAAAATGAAGGCACAGTCGCAGTTTAGGAATTTCCACTTCAAATTTGAGCTTTGTAGAGTGAAGTTTCAATGAATGTCAATGGACGACGTTAGTTGCAAACAAATGATTATATTGTGAAAACTATCAGGACTACAGCTTAGCCGTTGACATGTTTAATGGCAGCAGGGATAGCTGAACGTTTTGATATAAGATTTGTGTAGGTGGGCCTGAAAATAAGGGAGTGGTGGCAGTTTGGAAATCATGTCCTGATTTTTCAGCTTTTGCCAGCTCCCACTCTAGCTTTGCCATTCATTCCTATGGGACAAATTGCACCACAAGAACGACGATATTCCGTGAACCATTCGGCGAAACGTTCCACAAAGTAATAGCAATCCGATCGGGAACAATCTGCACGTTTTGGTAAATTTTTGTCAATGTTGTGTAAAAACTGTGGGAGGAGGTAGGGTGGCAAATTTGGCTATAATAAGAATAAGAATAAGAACTAGAAAAGCTACAATTTCTGGGGAAATTGTGAGAAGTGTTCTTGCCTCCACCAGTAGTCTACAATTGGAGTTGGCGGAGTAACTGTTATAATTTATTTATATAGCACATTTAATTGCAACGTTGTTGCCCAAAGTGCTTCACAGTTACATTAACCCCTTAAGACCGGAGGGCGTACTATTACGCCCTCTAATAGGCGGCTCTAAACGCCGCCGGGCGTAATAGTACGCCCTCCGGTCTTTCTGTACTTACCCGGTCGCCGGCGGTCCCACGCCGGCGATCGCGGTGGGGGGGACTCCCAGGGAGCCCCCCGCGGCACGACCGTCCTCCAGGAAGCCCCCCGGCCGTGTGAGAGTGGGGTCCTAGCGAGGACCCCACAATCACATGGCCGGGTATAGCTGGCTTCTGTATTGCCAGCAGGGGGGCTGCCTGTAATTACAGGGGGTCCCCCTGCTGGCTGAAAATAAAAGTAAAATAAGTTAAAAGTGTAAAAAAATAAAATTATATATACTTAGATCATATATATATATATATATATATATGATCAAAGTATATATATACACATATACATACACACATGTACACCGTCTAGGTGTATTTTACTATTAATATATATATAATTATATATATATATTAATATCAAATTACACGTACACTGATACTGATTAAATATATATATAATTATTGTTATATATATATTTATATATATTATAAAAAAAATTAAAATGTAAATACGTTAAAAAATAAAATTACAAAAATAATTAAAAATAAATAATTAAAAAATATATAGATGTGTGTTATTTCGTTCTAACTGTATTGTGAAATTTATATATATATATATATATCAAAATACACATAGAACGAAATAATATATATATTTATACACATAAATATATACGTATATATCACTATATATATACCTATATATAAATAAAAATATTTTAAAAAAATTATATAGATATATACATATATATACACATACGTATATATATACATATATTGATTCTACATATATATTTATGTAATATTTTACATAATTAGGTATCTTAATTAATTACAATTAGCAGGACCTGCATGACAACCCATGCCGAAAGTAAAGGGAATTTAATTTGCTAGCACTATATTTAACCCTATAACTTTCCGAGACACATTAAAACCTGTACATGGGGGGCACTGTTCTACTCGGGAGACTTCGCTGAACACAAATATTAGTGTTTCAAAACAGTAAAATGTATTACAACGATGATATCGCCAGTAAAAGTGACGTTTTTTGCATTTTTCACGCACAAACAGCAATAAACGGACAATATTATTGCTATGATACTTTTTACTGTTTTGAAACACAAATATTTGTGTTCAGTGAAGTCTCCCGAGTACAACAGTACCCCTCATGTACAGGTTTTATAGTGTTTTCAAAAGTTACAGCTTTTTTTCACATTAAAATTCGCCAGATTGGTTACGTTGCCTTTGAGACCCTATGGTAGCCCAAGAATGAAAATTACCCCTATGATGGCATACCATTTGCAATAGTAGACAACCCAAGGTATTGCAAACGGGGTATGTCCAGTCTTTTTTAGTAGCCACTTAGTCACAAACACTGGCCAAAATTGGCGTTTTTGCATTTTTCACACACAAACAAATACTAACGCTAACTTTGGCCAGTGTTTGTGACCAAATGGCTACTAAAAAGACTGGACATACCCCATTTGCAATACCTTGGGTTGTCTACTATTGCAAATGGTATGCCATTATGGGTGTAAATTTCATTCCTGGCTACTATAAAGTCCCAAAGGCAACGTAACCAATCTGGCGAATTTCAATTTCAAATGTAACGTGCTATATTTGACCCTGTAACTTCCCAAAACGCCATAAAACCTGTACATAGGGGGTACTGTTTTACACGCGAGACTTTGCTGAATACAAATATGTGTATTTTATTGCAGTAAAAGCAAACAGTATTATGACACTGACCGTTAAAATGTCATGTAGAACTAAAAAAATCCAAAAAAATCGTATTTTCTCCCATTTTTTTCATATTAAATTATGTTTCATAGCTAAATATTTGATATTAAATGAAAGCCCTGTTTCCTGAATAAAATGATATATAATAAGGGTGAGTGCATTTACTATGAAAGAGGTGAATTACGGTTGGACAGACATGTAGCGCAAATGCCAGGTTTTGTTTACATTTTGTTTTGTTCACAACGTGTACATTTGGCTCCGTCCTTAAGGGGTTAAAACATACATTTATAAAAACATTAGCAGGTGTACAAAAGGCCTTGTCTATGACATCACTTGCTGCTCCAGCCTGGCACAGGTCAGAGTATTTTGGCGGTTGCCATCTTCAAACGGTCATATTTTAAAAGCTATACATCCTAGAGCGAAGAGCTTTATATTGTGAGAATCACAATACCCAGACCTACATTTGCATAGTATGTCTCTGAAGTATTAAAAATGAAGGCACAGTCGCAGTTTAGAAATTGCCCTTCAAGTTTGAGCTGGCTAGTATGGAGTTTCAATGAGTGTAAATGGATGGCGTGAGTTGCAAACAAATGGTCATATTGTGAAAACTATCAGGACTATGGCTTAGCCGCGGACATGTTTAGTGGCAGCAGGGATAGCTGAACGTTTTGATATAAGATTTGTGTAGGTGGGCTTGAAAATGAGGGAGTGGTGGCAGTTTAGAAATCATGTCCTGATTTTTCAGCTTTTGCCAGCTCCCACTCTAGTTTTGAACATTTTGCCATTCATTCCCATGGGACCAATTTCGCCAAGAATGATGATATTCCGTGAACCATTCGGCGAAACGTTCCACAAAGTAATAGCAATCCAATCGGGAACAATCCGCACGCTTCCGTATATTACTGTCTATGTAGTGTAAAAACTGTGGGAGGAGTTTGGGTGGTAAATTTGGCTATAATAAGAATAAGAACTAGAAAAGCTACCATTTCTGGGGAAATTGTGTGAAGTGTTCTTGCCTCCACCAGTAGTCTACAACTGGAGTGAGCGGAGTAACTGGGTGGAGTGGCTTGAATAACTGTTGTGTGGTTGGAGTGGCTGGAGTAACTGTGGAAAGGTTGGACTGGGCAGAGTAACTTTATGGAGTGGGCAGAGTAACTGTGTGAAGTGAGTAAAGATAGTAAACATTACACTAACCAATTGATTGATCAAATGTAAAAAGTGCACATGGCAAGCTTGATAGAGTGAGAAATGCATTTAAACGTTTATTTATTTATATAGCAAATTTAATTGCAACGTTGTTGCCCAAAGTGCTTCACAGTTACATTAACTCCTTGATGACCGATGACAGTTCAGGACCGTCATCGGTCCTCAAGGGGATGTTTTTCCAATGAGGTCCTGAACTGTCATCGGTCGTCAAGGAGTTAATGTAACTGTGAAGCACTTTGGGCAACAACGTTGCAATTAAATTTGCTATATAAATAAATAAAAGTTTAAATGCATTTCTCACTGAACCTGCTGACAGGCAGTCTCCCTGCAAGTGAAAAATCATAAAATAAAGTTAAAAAAACAAAATCAATTTGTGTAAAAAAAAAATATGTGTATAGGGGGCCGGGACCTGACCACCGACGGGATCAGACGTGCTCTGTCTGAGCTCCCACTTCGGGGCCTGAAAATCGGAGCCAACTAGGAGCCAAAAGCAATCATAGTCCCTTACTGGTGCCCACGGCAACCTTCATCTGCTGGGGCACACAGGGATATCTCTCATGACCCCGACTGGCATCCAAAGTAACCCGACGTGGCACGAAGCTCGTTGGAGCTTGAGCCAGGAAGGGACGGCCGCTCTCCCGGGTCTCCAGCCGGCGTTTCGCTTACCTCCCTCCCCCCTCTGGACCGGGGGGGTTATCCCGGTCTCCACGGGCTGCTACTGTCACACTAATTTGGGCCCAAACATCTGCCCTGCTGCAGAAGGCTTAACGGGCAGGGCCCCTCAAGATGGCCGCCGCATGTCAGCCATGTGCGCGACCCGCAAGCACGAACAAGCTGACCACGGGAGAGCCCATCCAACACCAACCGACCATCATGACAGCTTGCCCCAGGACATGGCTGGCTGAAAACAATGCGCAGACTCAGGTGCAAACAACTAACAACAAGCAGAGCAAAATGGGGCACAAAAAGGGTGAAACCCCACTGGACTATCTTTCTAACGCAGACTCACTGCTGCACATGGGAGGCCTGCTCAGGCTGCATTACACCCGAAAGAGGTACCTGGTACAAAAGCTACAGACAAGAAGACGCCACCGCCATAGTCTGAACCAACACACCTGGACACCCTACTACCACCCATCAAAGGGGACCCATACCTCTTTTGTGAGGGCACATCACTCCACACTCCGGGAACGGGACTTCTTTATTACCCGAAGACACCGGGACGAGCCACCGGAACACTGCACCCTGCGGACACTTCATCGTTCAAACCAGCCTCCAAGCCGGGGTATCAGATGAGCGGGTACCGGCAACTGAGCACAAGCTGATGGACTACCCCACTAAGACCCCACTTACCTGCCTACATACACAGAATCACCGAAGCACCACAACACAGAACAGACACACACTAAGCACACACAGGCACCCACACGATGGCACACATACCTGTGCCGAACTAATCGCACCTCACTGAACGACACCCAGGGAACACCCCTGCCAACAGGTACTGTGACTCCACACACTGCACGAGCTGATACCCGTGGCCCTTTAACTCCCTAGAACAGACACTCGCCAAAACGCAGTGATCCAACACTTACACAAAGGGGCACTATAGCCCAGCATACGCAAGTACCATAATGCAAGTAACACAAATAGAACTACATTTTCCTATCCGAGCTGCACGGCATAATCTAGCATAACTTGAAATGTAAACTTGCAGTCTAGCCTGTTATATGTTATGATTATTTAGACCAGATGTCACTATATAAAATACATGTCCCTCTCTTAAGCATAGATAAGCATAACCAAACCAATATCGAGAAACTGAAACGATGACACTCAACATGAACACTAATCTTAAACTACTGAACTAAACGTGTTTATAATTTACAATTGCATTGAACACTCAAATGTTTACGCTAATCGAGCACCTAAACTATTGCAATTTTGTTATTTCTAACAAAAAAATGTGCCTGACAATCGATTACCACAACCTGTAATGCAAATGTTCACTAATGTACCCTGATGTCGCCGTTGTGGCGCACCAAGGCGTTACTTTTGTGCACACCAAAAATAAAGAATTAAATTAAAAAAAAAAAAAATTAAAAACAATTTCTTAAAATCCTTGCTTAAAGTACACACCCTAAAGTACTGTCTGAGTTGTCTGTTTCCAGGATTATTAACCTGTTTGATGGAAATCTTTGAAATGTAAATTAAGTTTAGAGTGTGAATAAAAGCATTACTTTTTAAACCAAAAAAAAAATAATAATAATAAAAAAAATATGTGCATTGTGATAAAGTGAAGGCAGATAGGCCTATAACATTTAACCCCAGGGGGAGTATGTGTAGTATGTGTTGTAGGCAACATAAACCACCGTTTAGTTATGGGCCCCTGGGGTGGAGCATTTGGAGAGCAGGGTGGGCCAATGCTCCACTCCTCATTTTATACACAACTGGGAGAAATCAGGTCCAGGCAAGAGTTTTTTGGAACTGTCTCCAACCCACTGCTCAGCTGCAGATAATCAGCTGTAGCAGTGGGAATAAACCCCTCCCTGCTATGCAGGTAAAGGGGGATTGCTGGCTTCCTCCCTGGAAGCAGGTTGGAGAGAGGCTGTTCTCTCCAGTGAGAGAGTCAAGGAGACTGAGCACTGGGAGTGCAGAAGGAAAGCTTGGAGCACTGGGAGTGCGGAAAAGAGAGAGAATTCTGTTTATTTCTAGAAGGAATGGAAGCCACATGCTAACCGAGTGTGGAGTGCTGAGAGCTGACAAAGGCACTAGGTTGGTGAACCCAAATATTATTTTGTTCTAGTTTAAACCCTGAGAGAGAGGGAGTCTGATGTTAGTTAGTGCTCAGACGAGCTAGGCTTTTGTTTATAGGGATTTGTGTTATTGTTGGTTTTTTTTATTTGCTGCTGTAGCTGTGTGGATTTACAAATAAAACTGCCTGGATTACATGAAAACCAAAGGACTGTGACTGTTGTTTACCCTAGAGGACCGTGCTACCTGCAGACAAGGATCACAGTATGTATATAATAAAAAAAATATATATATATATATATATGTATATATATATATATGTGTGTGTATTATATCTATATATAATATGTATATATATCTTATATAATGTCACACTAAGTGTATTTTTATATTTATATATACATATATTAATATAAAAATACACATTATAATTAAATTACCGTGTGTGTGTGTGTGTGTGTATATATATATATATATATAATAAATATATATATATATATATATATATATTGTGTGTGTGTGTGTGTGTGTATATATATATATATATATATATATATATATATATATTATAAAATATAAATAAGTATATAAAATAAATAAAAAAAAGTAAAAATAATTTTTAATAATTTAAAAAAAAATGTATTCTAATGGTATTTTGATATTAATATATATATATTTATATCAAAATACACTTAGAATGAAATGATATATATATATATCAAAGTATAAATAAAAATAATACAAAATATACATAATTACATAAATCATTTCATAAATATACACATAGACTTCAAATATATAAATATGTATATATATATTTAAATTCTACATGCATATTTATGTAATATTTTTACATAATTAAGTAATTTTATTGATTGCAATTTGAAGGACATGCCTGAGAACCCAGGCCAAAAGTCCAGAGAATTTAATTTGCTAGCACTGTGTTTAACCCTGTAACTTTCTATGACACCCTAAAACCTGTACATGGGGGGTACTGTTTTACTCGGGAGACTTCGCTGAATACAAATATTAGTCTTTCAAAACAGTAAAACATATCACAGCGATGATATGGTCAGTGAAAGGGAAGTTTTTTACATTTTTCACACACAAACGGCACTTTCACTGATGATATTATTGCTGTGATAGGTTTTACTGTTCTGAAACACTATTATTTGTGTTCAGCGAAGACTCATGAGTATAACAGTACTCCACATGTAGAGGTTTTATAGTGTTTTTGAAAGTTACAGGGTGAAATATAAGGCTTGATTTTACTTTTTATTTTTCATTGAAATTTGTCGGATTGGTAATGTAGCCCAGGAATGAGAATTACCCCCATGATGGCTTACCTTTTGCAAAAGAAGACAACCCAAGGTATTGCAAATGGGGTATGTTCAGCCTTTTTTAGTAGCCACTTAGTCACAAACACTGGCCAAACGTAGCGTTTTTTGCATTTTTAACACACAAACAAATATAAATGCTAACTTTGGCCAGTGTTTGTGACTAAGTGGCTAGTAAAAAAGACTGGACATACCCCATATTGAATTCCCTGGGTTGTCTACTTTAAAAAAATATGTACATGTGGGGTGTGATTCAGGGATTTATGACCGATTACAGTGTTACAATGTCACTATTGATAAATGTAAAATATATATATATATATATATATATATATATATATATATATATATATTGAAAGAGCAATCTCCTACTTGTACTTATAGCCCTATAACTTGCAAAAAAAAAGCAAAAAAGCATGTAAACACTGGGTGTTTTTAAACTCAGGACAACATTTTGAATCTATTTAGCAGTTTTTTTTCATTAGCTTTTGTAAATTAAAAGATTTCTCAAGTAAAAGTTCAAAAATATGTTTTGTTTTTTTTCAATTTTTCACCATATTTTTTAATTTTTTTTTAAAAGTAAAATATATGACATGATACAAATAATGGTATGTAAGGAAAGCCCTTCTTGGCCTGAAAAAAACAATATATAATTTGTATGGGAACCGTAAATGAGAGAGCGGAAAATTACAGCTAAACACAAACACCACAAAAGTGTTAAATCCACTCTGGTCCTTAACGTACAACATCGCAAAACAGGCCGATCCTTAACCCCATAAGACCGCAGGGTGTTCTATGCCGTCCTTATTTAGATGGCCCTAAACACCTGCAGGACGACATTGAACGCCCTGCGATCTTTTGTACTTACCCCGTCGCCGGCGATCGCGGTATGGGGACTTACCTGGGAGCCCAGGGAGTCCCCCTCCGTCCTCTTCAGCCCCCCTGGGCCATGTGATCGCGAGGTCCTTGCGAGGACCCCGCGATCACATGGACGGCATAGCCGTCCAAGGCATTGCCAGCAGGGGGAGTGTCTGTAATGACAGGTACTCCCCCTGCTGTCTGAAAATAAAATTAAAAGATGTTAAAACAGCGTAAAATTAAATAATATATACTTAGATCATATATATATTTATTTATTATATATATATATATATATATATATATATATACACACATATACTGACTACGTGTATTTTAATATTAATATATACATAATTATATATATTATCAAAATACACGTCCAATGATATTGATTAAATATATATATATAATTTTCATTATATATAATAAAAAATAAATATATAAATATGTTAAAAAAATTACAAAAAAATAAATAAATAAAAAATTTATATACATGCGTAGTTTCATTCTAACTGTATTTTAAAATTAATATATATATATTGATATCAAAATACATGTAGAACGAAATAATATATATATCTATATACATAAGTATATACGTATATATGACTATATGTATATACGTATATATGACTATATATATATATATATATATATATATATATTAATTCTACGTATATATTATGTAATAATTTTACATAGTTAGGTCATTTTAGTAATTACAATTTGCAGGACCTGCCTGACAACCCAGGCCGAAAGTTCAGGGAATTTAATTTTCTAGCACTATATTTAACCCTGTAACGTTCCAAGACACCATAAAACCTGTACATGGGGGGTACTGTTTTACTCGGAAGACTTCGCTGAACACAAATATTAGTGTTTCAAAACAGTAAAATGTATTACAACGACGATATCGTCAGTGACATTTTTTGCATTTTTCACACACAAATGGCACTTACACTGACGATATAATCGTTGTGATACGTTTTACTGTTTTGAAACACTAATATTTGTGTTCAGCGAAGTCTCCTGAGTATAACAGTACCCCTCATGTACAGTTTTATGGTGTTTTCAAAAGTTACAGAGTCAAATATAAGGCTTGCGTTTCAGTTTTTTCACATTAAAATTTGCCAGGTTACCTTTGAGACCGTACGGTAGCCCAGGAATGAAAATGACCCCCATGATGGCATACCATTTGCAATAGTAGACAACCCAGGGTATTGGAAATGGGGTATGTTCAGACTTTTTTAGTAGCCACTTAGTCACAAACACTGGCCAAAATTTGCGCTCAAATTAGTTTTTTGCATTTTCAAATATTAACACTAACTTTGGCCAGTGTTTGTG